ATTGGCGGACTTCACATATAAAATAAATCGCAACGACTTATTTTTGTTTTTATTTTGAAAATATGTATGTTTCCTGACGATGTTTTCCTTCGGCACTGAACACGTGATAATTCAGCACTTAAAATTAACAATTTCATTGATGCCGGCACCGGGGATCGATCTCAGGTGGCTCGAGTATATGGAATTAAAAATGGCCGCCCGGACAATGAGCTATCACGCCCATTGTACTCCTCGTTTACCTTACAATTTTGGTTCTTGTTTAATTTATTTTTGTGTACAATAAAAAATATTCATTTATTCATTCATAACAATATAGAAAAAACTAAACATGCTTAGAAATAAAAATAACACACCGGCGTTACCCTATTCGTGTATTCCATTCGAGTGTAGCAAATCTGTCAGAGTAGCGCCCAAAACTAATTGCGGTTTCAGCTAGCGAGGCCCAAACACGAACATTATTTTACAAGTGTCCGTACATTTGTTTTGGCGTGCAGTGGCGTCCTTTGCAGCTGTGCCGAAATCTTTGTGTACGTCAACATTTCATATTTGTGCTTTTTCGTATCCATTTATTATTAATATACGGATATTATTGTAGTACAAATGAACACATTTCATGTTGGTCTTGTTTCGTTCGTTTCTCGAAACTATAAGTTTTTTTTAATTCAAAGCTATTTTTATACTCATTGACATAATCGCTTTCTTCTTAATCTATTAACAAACTCCTAAAGGTACAAAGTTTTTGCTTCACGTATTAATATACAGAGTGACTTTTCTAAAGGTGCCCAAATTCACTCAGGCTGTAGTAAAATCGTTTCTTGAAATAAAAACAATTTTTTTTGAAACATTGCCATTCTATTCCCTATGCGTAGCAGTTAACAATGCGGTAGTCATTCATAAATGCGTCGTTTACTTTTGAAACGAACTTGTGTGTGTTAGTTATGAATGCTCGCGCGTAAAATAAATGAGTTGCCCATAAATCACGCACTTTTTGAGATAAGTTGAAATGAATGTAATTTATTAATTACGAGTGATTTTAAATATTTATCACTTTTTATATAACATTAATTATGTTTATAATTTAAGTAAAAAAAATTGATACACTCAGAAAAGCCTCCCTGTATAGATTAATTAAATGAACGGTAACAGTCATATCTACATCGATTAGAAAAATCAAACTACATTAAAGAAATTACCATTAAAATAAATAATAAATAATTACCTACATCACCTATAAAAAGATATAAAGGACTAATTCATTTGACAACAGTAACGCAGACTGATTATATAAAATATAATTATCACATATATTATTATATACTATCAACTAAACTCGATTTAGTTAGTAAACGCGAGCGTATTATACTTCTGCTTTACGCCGGTCTTCTGTGAGGTCGTGGTACTTACCCGGACGAGCATGCCCATTCATGCAACAGCCGAGGCTGCTGCGTGGCTTTACCACCGTAATCTATACCTTAAAACATCACTTCATTATCAAAACGTGCCGAAACCTGTGCTGCATAACATACAAAATACCATAACTGACAAAATACATAAATATACCTACGGAGTATAAAAATGAAAAATACACAAATATATAGAGATGACATTATTAAAATCTGCAAGATAAACAAGGTGTATAATGTGCTATTAGTGATTACCAGCACAGGTGTTATCCCGGAATACTTACATCACGACATTAATACATTCGAGATTAAAAATGTAGAAAAATAAGAATAATCTATCGATCATTGTTCAGGTCATATCAAATTAATTTAGAGATTATTAAAGGAAGTTATCGTTAAAAGTCTGTGAAGGTTTAAGCACAATGGCACTTTAACCTTTGCTGAAAACAAATCGTAGAAATTATTCTGCTCATTCCCGAATGAAACTTACAATATATGAAACACATTACATATATACAATGAAACTTACATATAATAATACTTACATCACGACATTAATACATTCGAGATTAATAAGGTAGAAAAATAATAATAATCTATATATCATTATTCAGGTCATATCAAATTAATTTTGAGATTATGAAAGGAAGGTATCATTAAAAGTCGGTGAAGGTTTATGGGCAATGGCACTTTAACCTTTGCTGAAAATAAATCGTAGAAATTATTCTGCTCATTCCTGAATGAAACTTACATATATGAAACACATTACATATATACAATAAAACTTACATACAATAATACTTACATCACGACATTAATACATTCGAGATTAATAATGTAGAAAAATAATATTAATCTATAGATCATTGTTCAGGTCATATCAAATTAATTTAGAGATTATTTAAGGAAGGTATCGTTAAAAGTCGGCGAAGGTTTAAGGGCAATGGCACTTTCACCTTTGCTGAAAATAATTCGGGAATGAGCAGAATAGAAATTATTCTGCTCATTCCCCAATGAAACTACTGTATTTAACTTAAAACTAATATTTGGTTAAAGCTACTTAACTCGTGCCTAGCTTGGCATTTCTATATACAACATTGCCTTTATTCCCGATAAAAAGTTACATTATTTTACTGGTAGTAACGTAGAACAAAATATGTCTCTATTAAAAATAATCTTAATGCAATTCGATGTCTTTATATTTTAGTATGACAGAGAATACAAAAACCGTTATTACTATATCATAAAAAATATTATTTTACGTAATTATACTACTACTACTAATATTAATAAATAATAAAAGTAAATAACTGTAGTCATTTTACACCATATGAGTACGAATCAATCGTTAGTAGTTATTGTAAATGGTTGAAGCGATAATTCATTTCTTTATTATTTATAAGAGCAAATACATATGCATAAACAGAAAAGTTGGCGCTCTTTAACTTCCGCTCAGAACATTTAGACTACGTACATTCTACGAGGTCTATAAAAATCAAATTTGTTTATGACATCCGTCTTGCGGTCGCGAATACGGCGTTATTTCGTTTATGATAATTGTGAGACAGAGGCGTTCTTATTTTTAAAATACAAACAAACCGAAACTCTAAAATAACACAACGTCATTTGTCTTTTATGATGTCTGCTGTGCGCAATCACCAGATGGGTCGGCTAATTTAGTCGCACACTTACAATGTCGGCCCCGATTCACATGTGTTTTTCACGATATTTTTGAATATAATGAACAAACATTGCACACCGCTTTCATGAACGTCTGGAAGCTATAGCGGAGTTTTGTCATAAGAAAAATTGCAACAACGAGGCTGTTCATAATAAAAAGGGAAATATTTAATGAATATTAATAAGTTACGAAATCAGCTTAAATGTTGCTGCTATGAAACCTCTTTACCTCTAATTTGGAAAAAAGGAATAAATTTCATGCATAATCTGACAATGATGGTTATAATTTCAATATCGTATGCAATATAAGAATTGAATTAAGAGATTCCCATAATTATTTTGGTATGTAACGCTTATAAAAGGGTTCTAAATACCTAAGCGAAAAATCAATTGGACTTACCCCTATATAAACTTTGTTGGGAAGACAATCGCAGATAGCGCATTTCATCAGCCAACTAAGTAAACGTACATAACAAAATGAAGTAAACAATTAGAACTACTTTGCTAAGGCTATTTTAATCACTATTAAATAAAACTCCCAAGTATCTAGATCACATTTTAATGGACAATTTATAATAAGACAATCAAAGCAAATTGAAAATTATTCTTAGTAGTCCGAAGTTTAAATAGTACCTATATAATGACTATCTAAATTTATGACAAAACTTTGTTACGAGAAGATAAATTTGAATATAAAATTATTTACTACATATTGAAGATAAATGTATTTATTAATATTTTACATTGTTAATTTTATATAAAACATTTGTGACAAAGATAAATTGGAATGATTAATAAGTAGGTTAAATAGATATGTATGATTTTTAAATTTTCTAAATGTCATTGACTAGAGACATGCTAAAATAATTGCATACTTTGCATACTTTGTTGCAAATGCTTACAAACTATAGGAAAGACATTAAAATTGTACTTTGACTTAATATTTTTTATTCGCATATTTTAGAATAAAAGAACGACACCGCCACTACTATTATGATAAAAATAGTATTAAAATTTTACGAAACTAGTAATATTATTATAAGAATATATTTATTATACGCATTTATAACGTAGTTTTACAATTTTGATGATTTTGTTCCCAATCGATAGTTTTTTTCCAGAAATATGATTATTGGTAAAAATATGCTTATTGATATTTTATAATTTTATTTCTTATTTTTGATATTATTGGCACAGTTAAAAGAATCATGACTTCAATATGTCTTACCGCATTTGAAAGTATAAGAGTACTATTAATTTTAGTTTGCATTTATCTACATTCAACGTACCAAAGCATATATTTTGGGTAAATATCAATATAGTTAATACGATATTTCACATACATTTTTTATCTTACCTATAAACGAACCAATTCGTTAATCTATGAAATTTTTCAATGAGTAATTAGAGATAAAATATTTCTATTAGGCTTTAAAAATTAATATATCACGAGATTAAGACTTAGTTTTTTGTTTAAATTTAAATTATTTGACTAGTTTCAAAATGCGCATACAATAATCGTATGCTGTTTGCATTATATTCGATTTACCTGACTCAATCAAACTTTTAAATAGAGAATATTCGTGAATGGGCAAAGCCCCTATTTGAAAAAAGAATGAGATGCGACGTAAATGCCGATGCGTAAAAGCCGATGGTATTACGTCCAAGGCAGTGAAGCATCTACATATCGCTCTCCAATAATCCCGGTCGTCGCGGAACTTCGTCGCTATCAATCAGCTGTATCTCATCCGTATCTCTTGAATATCTCGCGACGCATTCGCCTATAAAGTGGGGCTGTCCATTCTTGTTCCTTCTGTCGCTATTCTCTTCCTCATCCACCTTCAACAGTTCAATTTCGACGCCAGTTTCATCTTTATCGACCGCCGTCCTGCTGGGGCAGCGGTCGAGCTCCTGTCAGGTGGCCTGTAGTTCGGCCAGCTCGTTCTCCTCTTCGTGGAGGCTCTTCTCCGCGAGCCTGAAACTCTCCAGGAACTCGTTCAGGTCGACTAGGCCATCCTTGTTTATGTCCATCAAACGGCAAATATCAACCAGCTGCTCCTGAGTCATCGGGTTTGGCATATATTTTCCTAATAATTGACATGCTTCCGAAAACTCCTCCAGTGTTATGTATCCTGTAAATATTGTGTGTATAATATCTGTGTAATCGAATAGAGGCACACCAATGGATGGTGTTAAATTTAATACTAGTTAGATTGGTTAGTTTAATATTTTTAATAATGTAAGATCACGTACCTGAATTATCCTTGTCGAGAATTTTGAAAATTGCCTCCAAGCTTCTTTTATTTTTATATAGAGTCTCTACAACAGTCTGAGTGTCAGATTTGCGACCGATTCTCTGAAAAGAAAAATTACGAAAATAGATTGCTTGAACTCGATTGAAACGAAATGATTGAATATTTACATAATGTGACTCACAACCGTACTACGGTGAAAATCCTCACTTCTTCTGAGAAGTTTATTTTTAAACTTGAATAAGTTACTATCACTTTTACTCATAAATTGTCAGTATAACCTTAACGTTACTATTACTAAATATATCTAATACCTATATAATCGGAATCTCGGAAATGGCTCCAGCGATTTTCATGAAATTTAGTATGTGCGTAGATTCGGGAGCGCAAAATCGATCTAGCTAGGTTTCATTTTTAGTAAATGTCCTTTTATCCCTCTTTTCAGGGAATGCGAAATATTATTATTAATTATTATAAAATATTCGAATATGAGGGTAAAATTGATATAATAGCTCGGTCGATAATCGGACGGCCCCGAAACACAAGGCTACGGTTCGTGTCACGATCATTTACATCCTTTTTTACTTTTTTTTATTTTTTTATTTCCAAAATACACGATTTACCAGGTCCTGCAGGTACTAGTAATAATAATAGCAAAAAATAACATTTCTCTGCACTTGTTCGTCGACCTAGCTTTTTTATATTTTTTTCCCAATCCTTGTTCCTAAACTGTAAGTATTTCAAATAATTAAGGATGAAAAAAAATCTTACGTTAGCATTTAATTCAAACGTGTCCATATATCGGACCCGCCTTGTTTCTGGATCAGTGCGCACGAGCTTATCCTTGAGCATCCTCCAAGGGAGACCCAGATGCGTAGTTTCCTCCATTGCATAGCACCAGTCGCTCACCGATATGAAACCTGACAAATCGTTTCCATTATATAAAAAAACTAATATCACAGACTGATAAAAATACCAACAGACGAGCGGAGAGAACAGTCGAAAAGAATCAATAAGGACGAATTGATTGTGAACTGATACCGTTCAAAATTCCTTACCACTTTGATCGAGATCCATGCTCCTGAAAGTCGCTTCCAAGGGGCGTCGTGCCATTACGATTTGGTTGTGCAGCTCCCTCATAGCAGAGGATTCGACCAGGCCGACTCTTTGGCGGAAGGTGAGGCGCCTCGTGCGAGATACGGCGGCCGTGTACTGGACGAATTGGCGTTCGAGGGAGTTGCCGCAGAGTTTTAAATAAGCGCCTTTATTAGACCCCAGCTCATAGTAATTTGACGCCGAAAATATTGTTATAACCTGCGTGATAGTGACACAATTATCCGGTGAAATCATTTCAGCTAAGGCTCTCATCTTCTAACACGAACATTACGATAGGAGCCGACAGAGACAGCTAATAATCATCACGTTGATTAAACCTATTATTATCACAACGTAAGAATTCTGTAGACCAGAAAACTCATTGGCGATGGCCAAAGGATCCGGACCCTACTCTAAAATTGTGAGTTCAAAAATCAATAAAGCCTGTAACTGTCTTTTATTGTTCGTCTTCGTTATATGAAATCCAAAATACTGAAACGTTTCCAAATCTCTATACATTTCCGCAGAAACAATTTATATTCAATAACAATTTTTAAATGGAATCATATAAAACCAAATATTTATTCTGAAAGACCCAAACAGAAACTATGATACTGAGACGAGCGTTTGAAATTGTAAATTTTCACATGTGGGATTCGAACCTATACCTCCCAGTCTCGGTGTCCAGAGGCATAACTAAGCGGCCGATAACCCCACGGCTAGCATTGCTAAAAATGCAATAAGAAAACAACGTAGATAGGTTTTGCGCCGTGAAGTCATCGGCCTAGTTGGTAGAACGCCTGGGCTCGAAAACGGAAAACGCAGGTTCGATCTACAAAAGTAAAAATTAAAATTAAACTTTTTTTTAAACAATTACTTACGTTTCCATTGTGCAGCATCTCGTATCCACCCGGCTTACATTCATGGCTTCTTACAATGAAACTCAATTTGTTCTTCCTTAAAAAGGAGACTGTTACATCCGGACCGAAGTATGTACCGGCGCCCCGTAGTGCATTAGCCACACATCCACCAGAACTTTGTGGATCGGACCACAAAATGTCGAAAACCTAAATTAAAAGTTAACAACATTACATTCCAAAAAACTATTAAGTTTTGTACACAATTCAAACTTTCATTGATCTATATTATTATTTTATATTTAACATTATTGACAGGTGAACGAACATTATTTTTACTTGTAGCAGTTTCTCTGTTATATTTATAAAAAATGTTTAAAAATGAATATAAAAATAATACTTCAATAAATAATTTTATTATTTGCTATAGAATATTTCATTTATTATTCTATTCGACGACCCGAATGGCGTAGTGGGTAGTGTACCTGACACTACCTACTACGTCATTCCGCCTCCTGCATGAAAAGGTGTGGGTTCGATCCCCACTACTGAAAAAATATTGTACGAACATAGTGTTTTTCTAGTGTCTGGGTGTTTATATACCTATTATGTACAATATGTATGTATTTATTTACAAAAGTATATTTAAGTATGTTTATCAGTTATCTAGTACCCATATTACAAGCGTTGCTTAGTTTGTGACTAGAGAACGTTGTGTAAAACTGTGTCCTAAAATATTTATTATATTGTGTCCTAAAAATATTTATTTATTTGTTATTCATGTTTGACCTAATAAAATCACCAGCAACACACTCACTCTACCGAAGGGAGAGTAAACTTCGAGACTATCAATTTGCCTAGCAAATTTCATTAATCCTGGTGGATGACGTCTATGCTATGAAATTAAATGAAAATGATGTTACGTGCTAGTACGATAATGCGGCCAAAGCCCCAAGTGTTATATAATTTTAATTACAAAGAAACTCTTGCCATTTTAATATAATTATCATTTAATTTTAGTTTAGGTTTAACTAATTGATATTGTTGACCTATTTCTTAAAGGAACAACACAAATTTTATAAGACTTACAGGGGTATAAGTTACTTAAGATATTTCTTACTTATATATTAGATAAGATATTTCCGAGGTGATATTAATGTAAAAAAAATAGAATGAATGCCTTTTCTTGATTTTACTGAAGTCTTTAATGTTGTAATGTGTGAAAAAGCAAATTTAATAGTTTTAATTTATTTTATGCTATATACAGTTAAACCTTCATTGATGTGTTCGTGTATTCAAAATTCACGTGAGTTAAAATTTCAGTGGCACCGGAAACATTACAAAATCATTCTGTCAACGACGCCATGCGTAGGCAGCGTTAAGTAAACAAATCTATTGAATGAAAAATCTTTCAGTAGTTTCAAGCTTAAAAAGATTTAAGAATTAATTAGGGCAATAACTTACTTGGCTTTAGAATATAAATTAGTCTCCATTCATGAATGTTCAATCGTTCATCTGTTCAAGCTGATATGACTTTATTTATTTTTAGTAACTCGGCAGAGATCCAAGTATTATCTATGGCCTGATATGTCCAATATTGATGTAGCACGTGTACTAGATCCTCGCAGATGTCAAATGAACACCCACGCACACAACAAAACAGCAAAATATGCTTATATATGCTTAAAAGTAGTACTATGAGTATATGCTACCTGCTTCCATTCCACCTTATCGATTTGTTCAGCTCCCGGAACTCCACCTTCAGGGACAGGCGGGCGAAGAAGTGATACGTACTGAAAATATTATAACTATAAAATATTCGTTTTGGTTTTCAACGTCTAATGTGGTTAACGATTGGTCAACCTTCCAAGTAACTGTAGCTAATTATTTTCTAAGCTTTGATAAGCGACATAATTGCCGTTTTTATATGCATTCTTTAGATGGCGAGAAAAATGTTAGCCTTAAATAAATATTTGATATCGTTCAAAAAGATATATTTGTGTAAGGTGCCATATCGATTTTTTTATATGTGAATTTCAAGTTCCATTTCGTTTACTTAGAATTAATACATAAAACATGCATCTACTTTGTATTTTACCCCTTTCATTGAATATTTCAGTAGTAAGAAATTTAAATAAATATTTTCCTGGTTTGCTATTTTTAGTTTGTTAATAAAGCGCTTTACCTTATCACGTTCAAGGCTGCGAACCATATCAAGGTCTGTTGTGTCGGAAATGCCTCCATGTACTACAAACACGCGATTATTAATGATTGTACCCAACGGCAACCAACGATACACGCCTTCTATTAATTTCAAGAGACGTTCTGCGTTGTGCTGTCGATAAAAAAATATATATTACAAATGAACTTGTGAAAGAATTTGGAAGGAAAACCTACACACTTACTCGATATTTCTGGTGGACTTCTCTAATAAAGCCATATCTGCGAATGAAAAATTCATAAATCAACGAGTTGCTTACGTATTCTATTAAAGTGCACGATAAAAATATCAGCTTGTATGTCATAAGTAGTGTCACCTGGAATTCATAATGAGATCTTCGTGATTGCCTCTGTTTAAATAAACCCCCCCAGGAAAGGCCAGCATGCATGCCAACAAAAGAAGAAGCACTTCCAAACTCTTCTTTCCTCTATCCACAAAATCCCCGTTAAATATGTATGGATTCTCCGGCGACGGCAGCCCATTCTGATTAGAATATTCCATTATTTATACAAAATTTTACCGATTCACATTAAATTATGCATTCAAAAAATCACGAAATTTTAATACTCTCCAGTGTTGGGGAAAATATTCAATTGAGTGCATAATGTAAGGAAAATTCTTCCTCCAGTTACGTACCACTGATATATTTGAATATGGGTCACGCGACGTATTTATAAGCGTTACGATAAAATTAACGACGGATAGCTGTAACTATTTGATTCTCATCTAAACTCTGAGTGCAAGAACTCTTATCCCGGCGATAATACAGACAAAAGCTAAATTATACTACTTGTTTTTTTTTTATTTACGTAAGTTTTTGATTCAGATTCAGGTTTCATGTCTAAGGCTTTAAAATGTTCCACCACTAAATATAATTCTTTCATACGACGCTAAAATTTTCTTACATTATAGTTTAATTGACGTCATACTGAGATAGTTAAATGTCATTTGCATTCCTATATTTTTTTACTCGCACAAATGAGCTTGATGCTCAAATATACACACTTAGGCCGACTGCGTATGAAGATTTTATTATGATTATTGAGACAAAAAATAATTGGTTTTTGGTTTTTATTTAATTTTATGACTTTTTATTGCTTTGCGGGAAAAAAATTAGAGGAAAGTGACATCACTTGTACACATATTTTTACTTAGATACATTTCTATCAAACTGCAGTGACTCTATTTACAAGATGACGCATACAACTTTACGTCCATTATAGCTACTGGTCGGGCTTAATAGGGCAATTGCTCATATCAACAGTTTCCAATCAAATATTTTATATTAAAGCACCTGTATAGACAATGTTAAGGAATTGACAAGTTCGATGAATTTCGAAAAGAATAAGATCAATCTATGCAAGTATTGGTCGATAATAATTTCGGCACCAAAAACTTTTCTACTTTCAAAATGTTGATACGTTAAGTTTATTCCACACTATACAGAATTTTATTTACAAAGGGCACACACACTAAGCGGTACCGTAAGCTATTGTGTCCCATGACGTCAACGGTACAAATGGGACTGAAGTGAACACGTGTGTCCATACAACGGCAAATCCATTGATTACTTGGTCGAACCCTCTGTCGTGTACAGGTACGAATTCCTGTGGCAGGGATTCGCTATATCAAATAACTACCTAGTGGCCTAGTCACAATCGCGTCAAGAATAAAATGCGTAACCTTCAATATAACTTGATACGAGTTAATAAAACAATATGTAACAATAAAACAAAGTTAAACAATATACCTCGATACACACTGGCTACATTCTATGTTCTCAGTGTTTACTTTTAGTTATAGTAATTATAGTTATATGTTTATCTTAAATTCGAAATAATTAAGTATTCGAACTTCATTACCTCATTAGGTATTGCCTGTAATGATACTAGATGTATAAAATAAAATAAAAAATTTCATTTCCGCTTTATATAAGATAATAATTTATCCTCTGTAAAGCGATTTTACATGTGGTACATTATTTCAAAACATTTATTTATAATTGGAAAACTGCTTAAAATTTACGGGAGGAGGTTAATTCACAAAATGCTAAAGACAGTTATGTTGTGTTATCGTTTAAGGGAACGTTATGGTATAACTTACCTTATGAAATATCACCAACAAATCATCTAGCTTTCCGTGCAGATCCCCGCAAATTGTTATTTGACTTGATATAGATGTAGTCGCCACATTAATGTTGGGTAACCTTTTCAACATTTGCGTCGCCTCTTTCAGTATCTGGGCTACGTGCTTCGGATGCAAACGATGCTGAAATATCACAAGAATTTGACTACGCTCGAAATAAATTTTTTTCTTTTCCCTTGTTACTGTGACAAACAAGGCCCAACAAGACAAGTAAACAACAATTAAATTTCCTTTGGCATTAAAATTATATGTCATCACATAATACCCATTTATTTCTAACACGTGAATTTTCCAGTCTAATTAATATGTATCATACAAAAATAACTGTTCATTTGTTTTATTTTTGGAACAGGTAATATCTTAAACTACCATAGCTAGTAAAATTTTGAGTAAATTACTTTGGTAATAATAATATTTTAGATAAAATATGACATTTTTGTTAATAAGAGAACTGAGGAGAAAAAGCAGAAAAAAATACATAAGTAAAGTTGAATGACATCCTATACATGTCCCATTGCTAGACAAAAGCCTCCTCTGTACAGAAGATCATAATGAAACAGGCGACCCCACTTCAAACATTCGTACATACGCGGAATTGACGGTTACCACGGAATCACGGAACCATATTAATACATGCCAGCGAATCAAATGACAATATAAGATAAAACATTCGGTAATTATTCACATGTCTAATCATATTCTCAAAACATACAAAACAGAAATCGGAAAGTTTAATTTACACGGTTACACAAAGCTGGTTGGCAGTGGCTTCGCATGGTTACACAAATTTTAGTGTAAAGGTGTAAACAATCCACAATCCTTCGTCATTGATGACGAGTCAAGGAATGATTGATGTTAGAGAAAAATAGCGCACGAAGGGTTCCGTACCAATATCTATAAAAACGGCAAATGTCTGTTGTATGGGAGCCCACTTAAATATTTTTTTAGTATTTGTTGTTATAGCAGCAACAGAAATACATCATCTGTGAAAATTTCACTGTCTTATTATCACAGTTCATAAGCTACAGCCTGCTCACAGATGGTCAGACAGACAGACGGGCAGACAAATATCGGAGTCTTAGTAATAGGGTTCCGTTATACCCGTTTGACGACCCGATTGGCGTGGGGAGTAATGAACCTGTCTCTTGAGCCAGAGGGTGTGGGTTCGATCCCCACTACTGGAAAAATTTTGTGTGATGAATATAGTGTTTTCCAGTGTCTGGGTGTTTATATATGTATATTTAGTTATCTACAAAAAAAAGTATGTTTAAGTATGTTTATCAGTTTTCCAATACTCATAATACAAGTTTTGCTTAGTTTGCGACTAGAGAACGTCGTGTAGAAATGTGTCCGCAAATATTAAAATACGCTTTGGGTACGGAACCCTAATAAGTAGTAAGTAATGTTTTAATGTTTGATAATAAGCTGAGTGAGTAATGTTGACCTTCTTCTTCCTGAACGCTTCAATCAGCAGGTCAATATCCTTCCTTTGCAGCGGAAAGTCGATCTCGGGGCCTCTTGAAGCTTTCGGCGGCGCCGTTTCGTCTACACCCCCGCCCTCGTCCGACTCTTCGGAAAAAACTTGCTCCACTACAACAAAAAACACATTTGTCAGTGTCAAATCGTTTGTGCATTAACGATTACGCAAATAGATTTGAACTTTAGCTCATCATTGCGCATATTATTGTGTCAATTCACAAAGCCATTATATTATGTACGCGTAAAAAAAATCATACATATTTACTTCCTACATGTACTAAGCGTATATTTAGGGATAAATGCATCTTTGTTGGTGCCAGATTATATGTATATTTTCATATTATACCTTACCCTTATAAACTTCAAATTTAATAAGCCATATAATAACATATGTATATATTATCTAATAACAAAAAAGTTTATCTGTAATATCGATACATCTACAAAAGCTATAAGACTAACATTTATCAACATATTCACTGTTTAAAGTCTCTCGTCGCCTGATCATTGTTGAAAATTTGTGTACCTATCATAATCTTTAAACGATTTTTCTGGTAATGGTCTCGTTATCAATTAAAAGGTGAAATATTTCATGGAATATCTTAGGAGCTGTGTATAGCTTAATTATTTTTTACCTTGGCATGTGTTAAATGGTGCATTTTATACTAGTACACGCTTAAATTTAAAATAAAGTTAGCTAGAGCCTTAAATTATGGTTAACCAACCAACATTATTCAAAAAACAAACTACAAATTAAGATCTACAAGCTTCAAAAAATTATGTCGACTCACACGAACGTAATAAATGAACTTTAGAGCAAGCTGTCTTTTACATGTCAAAAGGTACTTTTTTCGTAATATTTTAAAGAATAAACTTACACACAGAAGCAGTTCTCGAAGTTCTTTCAGATGATGGCCGCCCACTCGTGTCACGCATGTGGCTCAGAAGGGCGTTGAAAAAGTTATATAACTGAAAAGTAACTCATTACATTTATTCGAGTATTAAGTAGCCGAATATTTAGTATATAGACAAAGATAAATATTAAATAAATAATATAACAAAATAAAACTATTTAAGGTATTATATTTTGTAGAAAAAGGTACAAAAAGTTTTTCGCCGCTGTGGGAATCGAACCCACGTCTTTTCGTATGTTTTCTACATTTTTTAATGCTTCATCTTGAGTATAGAGATAAGAACTATAAAAAAATTTAATTGCTGTTTTGTTTTTAGGTAGTTTTACATTCCTCGTTAATAAGTACTATTAGCAGGAAGCATTAATAAACAACCAGTTTATACATATGTATAAAGTAATTATTTCAAACCTGCATTGTCTGCAATATCCTCATTTTATTTCTATTTAGTTTAAAATGAAGTTTTTTAATTAGAATCTGAAGATAAAATACGAGCAAATATTGACATTATTTTACCATCTCTTGTGATATATAAAAGTTTAATAATAAAGTCACCGACGTAGCCTAATTGATCGGAAGAAAGTTAAAAAGTATTTACTATTTCGTGAAAATGCCTGGAAATCCTTAAAATTCATATATTTGAAAAAGATCGAAAAAACTTGATATCAAAAATAAAAAAAAATAGATAAAAAGTTTGAAAAGAATTGTCCATTTGAAAAGAATGTTTTCAACAAAGTGGTGGTAATATTTTCAGATATCTAAATATAAAATGAACATCATAAAATCATAGTAATATGATTCAGTTATTAATCACGTCATAGATATTAAAAAGAATTGGCCGTCATTTTCTGCGTAATCTTCGCAGAGTTTTATGAATATGTTGTTAAGTTTGGGTAACAAACAATTTCCAATAAAACTCAATTTCCTCGAGATTGATTGCTTTTTTCATTAAAGAGCGATCGTGAACGATAAATTATTTATATTTATTCCGTTAATAGAAACGACGAAAGAGACCATTTTGATTATCACAAACAGTGAAAATTTGTATCCTTTTCAATATTTTCTTACATCATCAAACTATTATAAACGTGATGTGTGATTACTCCATATGATTCATGAAGCCTTCACAACGTATACACAACGGACTTTATAATGCACCATTCCGCGAAAACAATAGGAATTTCCCCGTAATAATAGATAACCCATACATCGGGGCTTTCCAGAGTAATGAAGCCATATCAACGCGGCGACTAAAGTAATTTAGGCACGCTTCGCTTGCATGCAACGTGTCCCTATAACGATGTATAATGACCGGGTGTTAGCAATCCTCTAAGTGTAATTAAGCATTAAAAGAAGGAACTTTTATAATTTATTACATGAGTGTTGTTCAAACGTTAATTAAAAATAAGTTCTTTCTCATTATATTGAAAAAAAAAAACTGATAGTTATAAAACTAAACCTAAACAACGGTTAGTATATATTTCGTAAATGTTTAAGGGATATTTAAATGTAATCTAGTATATCGAGTGTTCATCACTTTATAATTTTAAATCACAGTGATTGAATCAGTTTGATGACACTATACATTTGACTACAGAAGCTCTGTCTCCTCTGTAGTTTTCAGTGGATATCACTCGAATTATTCCACATTCCTTAAACTGTTTGTTATTACGAAAACATACGTCGCATAACCTTTAAAATGAAATGAAAGCCGTGAAAGTGGTTATTTAAGTCATAAGTCAGAGAAGTAAGTCATAAAGTGGATATTGCAGATATTTTATTATCTATAGACTAGAAGTATTGCCGAAGGGATACTTACTTTCACTTGATCTTGCTCCCCAGCGTATTCTATGCTTTGAAAAATTGTCCATGTGTAACGTCGTCGAACTTCCATTCGAGCGAGGTACCGCCGGTACCATTGTTGGATCAAAATGGCGGCTTTCATGGCTACATAACAAAATAAAATTCAATAAAGACTCAAATTCAGATTAAAAAAGTAAATGCTAGCCAACGGTAACTTGATACTTTATGAAACTAAAATATTTTACAACTGAAAATTATAACAAAACGTAAAGGATTCAAATCATCAAACAATCCAATACATTGAGTATGAATTAATTTAATTTTCAGATTAATGTAAATTGAATTTTGAAAACTTTCGCAGGAAACGTACAAGTAAACAATAACTCGACTCTCGCGTTTATATTCGAATAACTTGTTTTTTGACCCCATTAACGGAATTAACGAAAATGCATATTTGAAAAGCAAGTAATACTTGATAATTCACGCGTGGGAATAGTCGCATGAGAGAATTTAACGGATTTTATGACCTTTCGAATACTTTTCATCATTCACGGTCACGGGACGGATGTAAATATTCGTAAATTGACTTCAAAATAGCTTTAAATAAGACGTAAAACTTCAAAATATTATGTAGGAGCGAGTATTGACCATAAAATAGAATGGCCTTAGGCTTAGGTTTGCTTTTTTTTAACAATATAGAGCTAAAGTAAAAACATCCGTTAACATCTTTAACTATTCCGATATATATTCAGCATCCCTTTAAATTATCTACTAATTTGATAAAATCAAATAAATTGCAGTTTTAATAAAATGAATAATTAGTTTAATATATCAGGCGAAAATTAAAAATCTTGAAACCAATATAAAGACAAGAAGTATTTGAAAGCAAATACTTTTTTGTTAAAAGAAAGAAGAAATCAACAAACTGTGTATGTTATGACAATGCAGAATCTAGCAATTCAAAGGACTGTATTTTGCTTATATACCGTCATTAGAACGTTATTTGCATTATTCATGATGAGTCAAAATTCTTTATTCAACATAGGCTTACTTTATACTCTTATTGAACGTCAAAAAGTACCAACGGTTCACTAAACTAGACCTGCAAGAGAAGAACCGGCAATAAACTCTGCGGTCATATATATATATTTTTTTAATTATTTAAGTATATACACAAATTTATTTTAGTATAATTTAGCAGAAGTCAGGGGACTTGTAAGTGCAGAGCAAGAGTCATTTCCACACATCCTTGCCCTCAATGTATTCCTCGACATTATAATAGGCCCTTTCCATTAAGGTGGCTTTTAAAAAATGTTTGAAATTATTTGCACTTAATTGTTTGTGGATACCACAATATTCTATTATACAGCGTGTCTTTACCATCGCGACAATAAATGAACACACGTCTAACGCTACTTGCCAATAATCATAAAAAATATAATCTTTAAAAAAAATCATAATTAAAAAAAAAATTTCAAACAAACTAATAAAGTAAAAAAAGAAACAAAATTTGTAACATCTTATACAACTACAACTGACTGATTCATACATTCAGAGACTTTTTCATTCGTTGCCACGGCGTCACAGTAAAAGCCTTTCTTTTTAACAGTTTTGTCTCTTTTAAATTCATTCAACCCATTCATATGCTTTGTGACCTTTACAAATGAACTTTACGTTACAGTTTTATACGTAAGGATGTTCTAAAATTTTTTGTTTTGCAAAATTTAATAACTGTAAATATTGATGTTTAAAGAATGTAAATTTTTGATACACTTTTAAAAGGTTATCCTCTATACGTGTGTTCATTTATTGTCGCGTTGGTAACGACACGCTGTATAAGTTCATACATCTACCAAGAAACGTTTTCCTGGTTTTAGCTAGTCTAAACCTCGGTATTTCCAACGTGTCACCACGGCCTCGACGCGATATGGTATGTTATGTAATAAAAAATGTATGTAATAATGTGTAATAAAAAGGGACTCTATTTTTATTATTATAGCTTACATTTATTTCAGGATTTTATTATTATGTTTGTCCTAAGAAGGAGGAACATAATAATCCTCTTCTTCTTCGTTCCGATATGGAACTTATACTTAATTGAAGTAGAATTATAAACCTAATTTAGTTTAATGGTTATACTAAACTGTGATATAATAAACAGTATCTGTCTGCTGTTTCGAAACGGTGTTCCTATAATTAAAATAACTATCCAGCATATGATTTATCTTTTACTGTAAGAGATTTCTCACGGCTAATAAATAAAATATCTTAAGTTAGATGTGTACTGCATAAAAGTGATTGACGTTTCAAACTTTGAAATGTGTCCTTTCCATTCCATTAATGTTCTTTAACGTATATTTTTTAGAATTATTGCTTAGGCTTTAAACTGTTTCGAAAACTTTTGAAGTGTACTGAATTGATGTAAAATCTTTGGAAAGTTTTTGGCTTAACGTTTAACTTTAAAAAAAATCTACAGTAAAACCTAAAAAAAAGTTAGCTAAAACATTAATAGTGAACTTTTTTATTATGTTACATCTCTCTAATTGGCGAAAAGATAAGTGGTCACACTGGCCGGTTATAAAACAAATTAATTGGTTAGTTACTGTAACAATGCACTCACTCCTTTCCGCTTTAGTCATGCTCACGTCGTCCTTCTTCCAAAACTTGAGGAACGGCGCCAAAGCCTTCATGGTGCACTCGCCGTTCAACCCGCGCTTCCCCAACTTCTTTGGCATCTCTTGCTCAATTTCCGAGCTCCGGCACGACGAGGAATCGTCTCCAAGGGAACGCGTCCGCCTCCCACCGCGAAAACTGACACATCCACATCCCTCTGCGAGAGAGAACATCGTCGGACTCTTGTCCTTTCTATACTTCTTATCTCTTCGTTTTCGCGTACATCTCGCCTTCTGTCGCGTCTTCGGAATTGTAACTAACAGTAGATACAACAGCAGTGAACTGTGGCACGATCATTCCACCTAAAACAGATTGTATGACTAAAACACTCATCGAGTCAACAACCTATAAAGGTTAAAATATTCTAGGCGGTTTTAATAATACTATTTAAAATAACTGTTTTGTAATGACTAAACTTTTATTTTTACTCATGGAAAATAGTGTGTTTAAAATCCAATTTACTTTTGATTCACAATTATACATCGTGAAGATTTAGTAAATCTATTAATTTTGTCGTATGACAATGAAAAGGAAAATGTTTTTGTAAAGACCATTTTATTTAACGCCATTTCTTCTTATCTATAACCTAGATTTCTGTGCATAGTTAACTATAATGGGTAAATGACCGCTCCCAATTAGTCAGTTTTGCCCCGTTTTTCATAGACGACGACGCTCCGGTATTTTGTACGCCCAATAATTCTCACGTAAATATAGTAAAAAAATCGCTAACACACCAACTTATATGCCCTTCACCCGACATTGATAACTTTTATAAGGGCATATAAAAATGGTCATAGTCTTATGGAATATGCGAAAAACAGCAAGTGTCAGAACTCGTACAGATTTGTTGCCGCTGTCACTTATGTCGTCTCTCGAAAAAATAATGAGGACTAACGTTGACGGATACAATATTTAATGATGTTGTTATATACAAAAAAATATGTTCCCTTTAACAATAACACATAACAAATAACATCAAAAATTGTGTCTAAAAACATTTAAGTATCCACTATATTTATTTTCGAAGTAATTAATAGTTCAAAATAAAAAAAATTTCAGAGTAAAGTATTTACGAAGCGCACGCACAACGACAGACAATAAACGACATGATAAGCGACATGTTGGTAGCAAAGCGGTCGTTTTACAACTAACTTTATCAACTTCAAGGTATTACCATCGTAAACAATAACTAAAGCGTAATTAATTGATTTAATGCTTTTTTCACAAATAAAGAGTACAGGCACAGGGGAAACAATTTTTAGTTTTTTTTCTTTTGTTTCGGAAGGGAATATAATAACATAATATAATAACATATAATATACGTGCGTATGTAAGCAACCAGATAATTTTTAGTGATATATATGTATGAGCATGAGCCGTGATAGCTCAGTGTCCGCCGTGATAGCTCGCCTTTAATTCAATATACTCGAGCAACCTGAGTTCGATCCCCGGTGCCGGCACCAATGAAGTTTTTAACTTTAAGTGCTGACTTATCACGTGCTCCGTGGTGAAGGAAAACATCGTGAGGAAAACTGCATATTTTCGAAATAATAACAAAAATAATATTTTTTTCGAAGATATGTGAAGTCCGCCAATTCGCAGTGGGGCCGCGTGGTGGACTATGCCCTGATACCCTCTATATAGAAGAGGCCTTTGCTCAGCAGTGGGACATGTATAGGCTGTTACTTTTTCTTAACTTTACTTATATATGTATATATTATGTCAATGTAAACTAAAAATAATTGTATTTATTTAAAAAAATTGAAAGGGACGAACAATTCATCCCACCTAAAACTTTTTACACCACCTTTTAAAACTTCGCCATGCATCTGCTCCACCACTGAACGTGCTGGCGACTCAATTCAAATAAGTGAAACCGTACTCCAAACCTAAATATTTGTTTTTTAAAAACCGGCCACGTGCCAGTCGGACTCACGCACTAATGGTTCCGTACTATTATCTATAAAAATCATGTTTGTTGTATGGGAGCCTCACTTAAACATTTTTATATTGTTTTTTGGTATTTGCTGTTATAACGACAACTGAAATACATCATCAGTGCAAATTTCAATTGTCTGACTATCACTGTTCATGAGATACAGTCTGGTGACACGTACAGACAGACAGCGGAGCCTTAGTAAGTTTCTTAAAATTATACGTAATTTTCTTGAAAAACAAATGTTTAGTTTTGCACTAGTATAAGAAGTAGTTTGTTGTAGGCAAAAATAGGCTAAATTTCTAAAAATAGGCAATTTGGAACAGGAGATAACTACAATACGCAGACCTGTTTCACGATACGAATGAAGAACTTCAAATCATCATCCAGATCGCTTTATGATTTCTAATGTTGGATTAAGTACATCTCGTAACGTTTGTAACGAATGTCTTATAATAAACCACTCAAGTGGACTAATGCCAGATGAAATTTCGAATATATTGCCGAAATTTGAAAACCCGCTCAAACGTATTCGTAGCTCAACGTTAATACTGAATAATCTGCGGATGAAGAAAAAAGCTTGTATTGCGTCCATTTTTTTTAAATTGTAATTTGTTTTTTTTATTAGGTATCTAATATTTTAGATAGACCAAAATACGGCGTTTAACATTTAAATAAATGATATAGGTATATCCTGTGCTTCACATAAGTTTTTCCTTTCATATTCGTCTGATTCGTTAAAAATAATGAACAAAATACCTTTCTGATTTCCAAATAAAAGTCTTTTCAATATTGTATAACCGACAAACTCTACTTGATGCTACAGAATTCCAGCACCTCATTATTTTTAACATTTCATCATCTCTATCTGCTAGTCTATTTGTCTGTTCTCGATTTTGGACCCATTCCCGAAAGCTTTGTCAGTTAGAAAATAAGTAAACAAAATAAATAAAAAATGTCTGCAATTCATATGCATATATTATTTTGTAACTGAGGTTTTTTTTTTTAAATTTAGAACTGTAAAAGTACACAGACATTTCAACGAAATGTCATGTCTTAATTAGGTTGTAATTAGCAAATTGAAATGCAAAGATACAATGTAAGCAGTAAAGTAGAGCTGCATCGTGAGCAAATTGAATAGGGAACTTTTTGCTCAACACTATGAGTATTTCCCTAGAGTCTTTGGTAGAATTCCATACCATTGGCATTTGTCATGTTTGCGAACCCCGTTTGAATAAAATATAAATTGAAATGGATAAAATGTCAGGATATGAGGTATCCCCGAATTTTATTAAATTTTGCGTCCATTTAAATTTTAGTGACTTTTTCCAAAACTATCATTAGTTTAAATATTTTGCATGTCAAAGCATTACCACGTAAAAGTTGCCGTTAATGGATCCCGTTTAATGCCTCATTATAAACAAGTTATGTAATTTAAAGTAAAAGTAAAGGCTCTCAAAATGTAGTAAAACTATAACGATGATCAAATAAAAATGAACTGAAAGACAAAAAATTTAGGCTGAGATGATAAAGATCTTTGATATAATACAAATTTTGCAAAAAATACTTTCGAAGATTGAAATAATTACACTAAATACACCTTTGTATCTTCAATTTAAGTATGGTAGCGTACTTCAATTATAATTTTTTCACAAGAGTAAAAATTTGTATTAGTTTCCGGGTGTTTTCCACCAAACAAAAATTGTATTTGGTTAAGCATGTGAAATAATGAAATAATCAACAAGCAGAGTTCGGAGGTCGCTTATAGTTTTCGAGAAAAAAAAATATTTAAAACGTTATTTTCACTAAGAAAGTTCACCATTTTACCAATTTGACATCAAAAATTGAATACACAGTCCTACCAAAATGATAAATATAGTAAGTGAGCGAAGATTAATTTTTTTTACGAAAAAAAAGAGACTAAGAGAAAGTAATACCAAAAATTATTACACTTTAAACAATGCAATGCATAAATTATCATTATCACACAGTATTTTGCGATAAATCTAAAAAAAATATTTAATCCTATTCAGTTTTCAAACAAACACATTTCATGTTACTTCAGTTACTGTTTATCTTCCAGACGGCAATTCAAGTTTTTATTGGATTCGAATCGAAGAGCTCTTTTATGAATATTGAGCTTTTGTAATTACTATATCTCAGTTAGGTATTATCAATAACTTTACGAGTTTACGTCATTCGACATTCAAAGTATTTAATGACCACTTTAATGCAAAGAAGAATAATAATGCCTTGACTTGACTCGAAATTGGCAGAAGTGACAATGATTCATCGCCATTTTTATTATCTCATTTTCGTAGGTTAGCACCCTAAATACGGAGAAGTTTAATTGTTTTTCTGTGTCTATATGAGTCTTGTCTTCTATGACTATAAATAAACACCGGAATGTATGAAACAACATCTATTATATATTTACTCCATTTAATATTAAATATAGCAGAGAAATAATTCAAAAAATTAAAAGTAAAAGTAAGTCTTTACTTAGCAGCCTATACAAGACCCACAGCTGGACAAAAGCTTCCTCTATACAGAGCGTATTAATAATTAAACTAACATATGAAATACGTTGGTTACAATCATTAAATTATTTATTTGTGACCTGCACACAAAATCGTTTGTCTTTTTTTTGTTCTGTTTTATTTTGTTTATTTCTTTATTAGCATTAAATTTGCCTTTTTTAGCCATGAGTTGGGGTGTAAGCAATACATTTTTAAATAAATAGTTCCACAATCACTCTTACTTATACTTCTACCGATATCTTTCATTAAAATATTATAACAAATAATTAAAACCACCCCACGATTTTCTACAAAAGATTTTTGTCATCACACTATTTTAATTTTAATTGATTGAAAACATCTAGTTTGGTTTTCTACAAAACAAAAAAGTAAAAAACAGTTACTTTTTTTAACTAGTAATTATTTTCTATTTTTTACTTCTGTTTTTTTAGGTTTTTAAATATTTGTTTTTACAAAATATTTAAATTATTGAATTGTCATCGGTTCTTGATAATTTTTCAAAGTTTCAAATTAATTCAACGTTTTGAAGTGATTCAAATTCACGTTCGAAAATTCTGTTACGTTTACACATAGACATATATATATTCATACACAGATGTATACATAGATAGATACATATGTTCATACAAAGCTAATAAAAGGTTGTTAAAAAGGTAGGTATTCGTCTAATAGTTAGTTTTATGTAAACTAACTTTATAACTAAAAAGTTTGTTTATATAAAACTAACTATTAGACGAATCAGAACCGTAGTTTTGTATTAATTATTATTTTTAAGTGATTGTGTAATTACCTCACTCCCATAGTATCCAGTAATTCAAAACATCGT